AGTAATATTACGTTTTTGTCTTGGAAGGGCGGGTGGAGTAATATTACGTTTTTGAATGAAAGGAGGATGGAGTAATATTACGTTTTTGTCTTGAAAGGGCGGGTGGAGTAATATTACGTTCTCTTTTTTGTCTTGAAAGGACCGGTGGAATAAGGTGAAGATTTGTCAGGTAGCTCCGTTCCTCTTTTACCTGTCGTTAAGAGTTAAATGAAAAGGAAAAAAAGAGAAGGAGAAGAGAATTACCTGCAGAGCGACTCGCGTTGTCCTAAATGCCTCCAGAGACCTCAGGAGATAAGGTTTCCCAGCCGAGGTCGCCTCATTACCATTCACTCGGGGGTCTGAGGTCGCCAGGGTACACGCAGGTCGCCGGGTCGCTTCTATCGCTTCCTTTGGTGGAAATTAAACTTGGTTTTAATTCGGTTTGGGTTTTCTTGCTTTTGGTGGGATTGTTGTTTGCTTTTGGTGTGATTGTTGTTTGCTTTTGGTGTGATTGTTTTATAGGAATATATGTATGTATGTAGTGGTTTGTTTGTTTGTGTGTGTGTGTGTTTGTTTGTATGTTTGTGTGTATTTTGTTTGAATGTATGTGTGTGTATTTGTTTGTTTGTATGTGTGTTAGTGTGTCTGTATTTGTGTGTATGTGTGTGTGTGTGTTTGTGTTTGTGTGTGCATGTGTGTCTATTTATGTTGTGTGTATGTGTGTGCACATATGCAGGCGTGTACAGTTGTGTATGCCTTCATGTGCGCACTCATGTATGGAGACTGCATCACTATACATGGGATGCCTTCCTCTCCGGATTGTGTTCTCATGAGCCAGTCACGAGCAACGCCACGAAAAAGTTGTTTTATGGATTCATCATGAATACGAAATTCAAGACTGCATCAGGAGCGTCTTCTCGTGGTTTGCTTGAGAGAGCAGACGTCTTCGGTTTCGCTCGTGTTGATAATTGGATTAGAAAAATATGCTTTTACTTAGGGTGAAATAGAGGGGTGAAAGGATTAGGTACCTTTGTATGTGGGGGACAGACAGACACACATATGTATGCATAGGTATATAATACACACACATACACACACACACGCACGCACACACATATCACTTCTTATTGCCTTGATATCATCCCTAAATCTTGGTCTCAGACTTCCCTCTACGACAGGGCCGACAGAGGAAAAAAAGAGAAGCATCTATCCTTCGAGTCTTTATTTCCAAAGAGTGCGAGGCCGATGTAGGATAATTTTCTGCGAAGAAGAACAACGTGTAATTTGTACTTGCATATAATCTTGCTAAAGTGTCCGTTCGTTAGCGATATTTCTTATCATTACTATTTTTTTCTTAGTGCAGCTAATTCTATGAAAGTCATGTGCAACCAGAGCTTAAATACTTTTTTTTCTCTTATTATTATTAATGGTCAACACTGCTAAGTATGTTGTGAGTGAGAAAGTAAAATTTTGTAATAGACGCATCTTTGTTTTGATCAAGATAGCTGTATTTTCTCAGATGTTGTTTGACGAGATCATGACATGTTGTGCTAGATTAGTTCGCCTCATTTTATGTAACTACGTGTTATCATTATTATTTTTAACCATGAGATTTGTTTGTAACCATTCTGGCTAAGTATACAAATCTTATAAAATCACTGACAGCTTCAATTTCTTTTTAATCGTTAATCACAATGCACTCACTGTTAAATTTTTGTATCCTCACTATTTTCATTCGGTTCGCTTTACATCCACGGAAAAAAGTTCTTTTAAAATTTCTTTGACTTTGTCCACAAGGCCCTCGGAGTTTACTTAAGCTTCCTGTTATCAATATAAAATTTTCACCTTATCTGAGAAGAGATACGATTTCGCAGCCGATGTGAATACTGCAGTTCCTTGTGGTGTTAGAACTCATGGCTTATTTTGACCTTCTGAGTTAAATTTTAATAGGCGCGGCGACAGGATCCTTCCTTGTCTGACGCCGGTTTTAATGTCAGTTCAGTCCCTGAGTCCATCCTTTGTCCTTACCGCTAATATGCTCTTATATATTTTTATCTTTAAACTGCAGTTTTGGTTATATGAGTTCTGTGTCTATTCTTTGTTTTTACATTCATGTTTTGTTCATACAAGGTTTATATCAGTTTAACAACGCAAGGATGAAAGATCTTTTCAAGCATAACACAAGGAGCGAGATAAACAGTGTTTGAGAGTGTGTTATTCCTTAGAAAGAGAGTCAGGCATATTTTCTGAGAGAGGACAAGGTCCAAGAATCAATAGGAACGATCATGGTAGTGGGAAGAAGTGAGAGAGTTCGAGAAGTCAGATATAGAGAGGAGATTCAGAGACAGGAGATATCATTATTGGGAATAGTACGAGAGAGAGGTGTCAAGTCAGTCTCAAGAGATCAGAGTCGAGTTCAGAAGAGTAGAGTCAGAGATCAAGAGAGTCTAGGAACCAATCTGCTGGTTATTTATTAGGTTGCCTGTTGTCACAAAATTTTTGTTATGTGGTAAAGGAGTACGCAACATATACACGAAACATGCCATTGTATATATACATGTATATATAAAAGAATAGATAAATACACATAATCATTCTGTCTATCTAATTTCCTCTCTCTCTCTTCTCTTTCTTTCTTTCTTCTCTTTCCTCCTCTCCTCTCCTCTCTCTCTCTTCTCTCTCTCTCTCTCTTCTATATATATATATATATATATATATATATATATATATAATATATATATATATATATATATATTAATCAGTTGATTGGAAAAAAGCAATCACACAAATCATTCCTCTTCCGAAAAAGATTCTCTAGCAAGCTGACTCTCTATGTCATTAACCAGGAAATTGAAAATTGCGCCGCATACAAAATTCTTCGTCACTGGCCTGGTTGACTTACAAAAAAAAAACAATTTCAAGAACAAGTGGTAGAACTAATTTATATCAAAGTACTAGAACAAATATATAAACATGCCATTTCTTGCATTCGATTCCACAAAGACTCCTGTCCACTCCGACTAAGAAGTGTTAGACAAGGAAATGCAAGCACCCCCAAGTTCTTTAAAGGCTGCCCAGAAAGGATTTTCCGCACACTAAGCTAGGATGACAAAGGAGTGAATATTGAAAGCAAATACTTCAGTCATCCCAAATTTGCTGATAATATAATCTTTCTGAAAGCCACAGAAGAACCAGAACGAATGCCAAATGACCTCAACGAAGCTAGTCAGAAAGTCGGCCTCACCATGAACATTAGTGAAACCAAAATCATGAGAAACGAATATGTGGATGAGGAAGACCCAGATCAAACTGTTACCGTCCATGACACAGCAGCTGACGAAATTGATCATTACACCTGCCTACGCTAGCTCATCCCGTTGAGTTCCGCATCAAAGGAACAAGAGATCAAGCGTCGAATTACCAAGGGCTGGCAGGCTTTTGGAAAAAAAAAAAACAGTTCTGTATTCAAAGACAAAAATATGACAATTCTGCTAAAAAGAATTTACGATCAGTGCATCTTACCAAAAGTCACATTTGGTGCAGAAAAATTGAATCTTACAACGGAGCAAATGTTGAAATTACTATCAATGTAGCACGCACTTAAAAATAATTATGCTTAATGTGACCTGGAAAGAAGAGAGAGAGAAGGAGGAGAGAGAGAGAGGAGAGAGAGAGAGAGAGAGAGAGAGAGCGAGAGAGAGAGAAAGAAAAGAGAAAAAGAAAGAAGAGATAGAGAGGAGAAGAAAGAAAGAAAGATAGATAGATAGATAGAGAAAAAAAGTGGATAACAATCAAACCAAGGTATGCGTGATATCCTGGGTCCAATAAGTACACCAAAACAAACTGGGCAGGGCACGTACGAAGGAGAATCAACAAGAAATAGACAAGCACAACCCACCGGATCCCACGAAGACACACTAGAGATCGAGGACTACAGAAAACCCGCTGGAGAGATGACTTCGACAAGTTCCAAAAGCACTGGTAACGGAAGGCTGGAAATAGAACGACGTTTAAAAGGCTGGGAAAGGCCTATGTCCAACAACGAATTTTGAAAGGCCGAGAAAATAGAATAGAATATATATACACATATATATGGATGGGCAAGGGCCGAGAAAATAGAAAAGAGTCTATATAATCACACATATATGGGTAGGTGTGCGCATATGTGTAGTGTTCGTGCAAATAAACATGTGCACATTCTTGTACATATTACCACCGTACAACGGAAAGCCTAGCATACAAGGAGAGAGAGAGAGAGAGAGAGAGAGAGAGAGAGAGAGAGCTGAATAGGCTTGTCCCTCCTTCTAAGACGCCGAGAACCATCACTTCTAATTGTCTTCAGAAAGTCCCGGATCCGCCTCGCACAGGTTTCCGAGACGTGCCGAGGTGGGTGTTTGGCGTGACTTGAGGAGGGGGCTGCGGGTGGCAACAGCGGCTGGACGGGGGTGGGGTGAGGGTGGGTGGATAGGGGTTGGGGTGGTGGATAGGGGTGGGTGTGTGGGGTGGATAGGAGGGGTGGGGATGGTGGATAGGGTGTGTGGTGTGGGTTGGATAGGGGTTGGGTGGGTGGGTGGATAGGAGGGTGGGGGTGATGGGATAGGGGTGTGTGGGTGGTGGATAGGGGGTGGGTCGGGGGTGGATATGGGGTAGGTGGATTAGGGGGTAGATTGTTGGGTGGGATAGGCGGGTGGTTGGAGTGGGTGTGGGTGGATAGAGGGGTTGGGGTGGGTGGATGCGGGGGGATATGGACTGCATCTTGACCGTTCTGAATAGGAAAGGGATTATTCTTTTATTTTATAGTGTTTGTAAGAATAATGGATGGCATATTGATATTAGTAGCTTTATACAAGAATAAGAATTATTGATTTTTGTTTAGTCCTTGTGGTGTCTTTATATGCAATGAGGGATATCGATCCATAAATTGGTCTAAAGGGGTTTTGATAAACCAAAAATTAAAAAACCCCAAAACTTTTTTGAATTTAGTTTTTTTTTGTATTTGTAAAAAAAAAAACAAATACTTG